CGTTTCCCTTCTGCCACGGCTCGGCAGGGTGCTTCGAACCCGGGCTACCGCCGCCTGAGCAGGGCCCACGCCGGTTTTGATATCTGCTGTGTCCTCAACACCTTGAAGCACAGACATCACTGTAAGAGCCTGGATAATGTTATTCAAATGATTTACTGTTTCAACTAGGTGTTAAATCTTACCATTCTTATGCTACACGTTGCCCTTACAAATGACAGCACTGGGAGAGCAACCACTTTGGAAAAGCCCCTCTGTTTTTTGTCCCCTTACAGGAAGGAAAAAAAACAGGGTCCTCTTCCAGCCACTGAAGTCTCCAGCACTTTACCAACAGCATCAATGAGCTGGTAAATAGATTTAACTCTTGTGTGTCAATGAAGTCATTGCTGCCCCAGGAAAGAGGGTTCGTTAACTAAATGCCACTGCACAGCCAGTTAGGAAAACTCAACTGCGTTTCTTGGGGATTGCTCAGAACAGCGCCTCTTTTAAAATACAAAATTGCTCTAGATTACTGAGCATTTCTTATTTGAAAGCCAGTTGTCACTTTGTAATCAATATAATTTCAACAGGAGGATAAATTTGGAGCTGAAGTTATCTGATAGCAGTCATCTCTACGCTTGATTTAAAACCACGTTCACATTCAGATGCCTGGCAATGAGGGTTATGAGCAGCACTGTGCTTCCTGTTTTTTTTTTTCCCTCTCATTAAGTGACATTTCATAAAAGGAACTGAACAAAGATACTTGAGATGGCTGAGTATCTTATTGCACAACCTTTACTAATATGAGCAATGCGTTGCCTTCAGAGCAGCTTCTCGTTCAGAAGTTGCAGATCCTCACTGATGACCTGAATATTGATTATATGTTAATACAATCTTGTGTTGAAATACTGGTGAAAGATAGCATTATGCTTGTACTCCAGGCCTGCAAGATGCTACTCATATTGTGCTCGGTAATTTTTTCAACGGGAGCAAAAGACGCTCAGCCCTTAAGGGAGATGCTCCACAGGCAGCAGAATTTGGCCTTTGTTAAATGAACTAACAACTAAATTAATCACTTTTCCAGTAAGAGGAGGCACTTTTGCTATAATGAAGCTGTACACTTCATATTTAGGTATATTCGTCTGGACAGATTTTTAAAAAATGTAAAATAAAAACCCCTAGAATCTGGACTTTCTGCTTCTGTATTGTCTAAGAGAAATAAATACAACAGCAAAGTACTGCCATTTACACATTGGGAATCCTGAGCTCTGTTTCTGCAAATTCTCTTAACACACGCTGCTCAAATGTTAATTTAACTGCAACAGAGACAGACATCAACAGGACTAAGGAGGATTAGCTTCTGGTTTCACAAAGAACACCCTTATTTTGTTTGAAGTTTAATTTAATAAAATGAGATACTCTGCATAAAAGTTAAAGAAGCATGGCTGCTGCGAAGGGGGAAAATCCTTTCTGCCAAAATTTTATCTTTGCTCTTTCTCTTTTTTTTTGCATTTGTTGCTTAATGGCTCGGTATTATTCCTAAGCCTGTTCCTTTTACAAATGTAATCAACTCAAGTATTCAGCACCACAGATGATATATTGCTCTGCTTAAAACCAAATCTCTGAGGGACAGATTAGAAAGAAAGGTTAAAGAGCTCTATCATTCAAAGCATTATAGTGCAGACACCTATAAATCACCATGTTTGTTTGTTTAGATAATTGGGTCCATTAGTGTATGTAACATTGAAGGTATACAACTTTTTGCTATGACTGTTTGCCAGGCTTTTTTTTTTCCTTAAATCTTAGAGGCACTAAGAGAAATAAATGTTCCAAGGAGCACACACAGCCAATGATCTGTTAGGTCTAATTTGTGCTTGCAGCTCTCTTCGCAACGCTTTGAAAAACAGACCTCCGCTCTCCCCTGCTGATCTCTTCCTCTTAAAGAGTTTCCAGGACTAAGAGCAGATGCCAGTGTGAAACACACTGGAAACTGCCACGATGCAATAGGATTTGAATTAAAATACAGTTAGGGGGCTTGACTTGGCGCCGCAGAAGCCTGGACACGCACAGCTCGGAGGATCCCGCCACCGCGGATACGCCAGCACGCAGCGCTGGGCAAGACGCACCATAATTTGGGACTGGGGGGCCGGGTCCCC